ATAAAGAGAGTATGTGGTCAGCACTATGTCCAACGGCCTATAATTTCCCCAACGTAATGTAGGTACACATAAGAGCTAGATGAACTCAGGGATGTCCTACAGTCACAAATCCTAACTTAGATCCGAGCTCGAGACTTTCGTGCTAGCAAATAAACGCTCTACCACTCGACCACTCAGTCGCATAACTTGAGGGTAAGGTGGTGGGTAAATCTAAGCAGTCATGTGAAAAGATTCACAGAAGTACAGTGTACACTTACACAAAAGTTGTGCTGGAGATGGGGTATAGAAATAAAAACTACTTTCCTACTCATGTCGAGGGTGCACAGATTAGCTCGGCTTTAGCCGGTTATTATGCTAAACATTTAACATTTTGATTAGAGACAAGCATTTTATTTCTTACAGCAGTAACGATTGAGGGAAACGACACTTTCATGAATTTTAGCTTAGTAGCCAACAATATGATGACAGTGTTGCCCATGGCAACCGTGAGTCCAGAGCGGAGTGTCCTGTCTTGTGCAGCAAGATGTCTCGACTGGTTACCTCCCTGTTACAGCTTTAGCTACAACAAAAATAGCCTCACGTGTAACTTAGGTAAGTGAAACATATATCATTTTGTAAACTATACATATCTACTTTGCTAGAAGTTCATTAGTAGTTTTCTCTATAAATAATAAAATCATATATATATATATATATATATATATATATATATATATATATATATATATATATATATAACCTTTCGTATAGAAAGTACTATCTTCTGTACTTACCGTAAATATACTTATGTCCATTATTGATATTTCTATAACAACATCTGACGCCAACCGAGCTGCTTAAAATAAGCAATAAACCAGGAAAAAATATTACAATCAATTAGATCGATTAAAATAGTAATCATACTTTAGATAGATTAGTGCGTCAAACAATATCGCTTGGACTAAATGTTGCAGCTATTGAAAATGAGACACAAAATATGATAATTTTTTTCATGTGGTTATTGCACACTGCAGAAGACTATATAATTCAATTGAGTAATGTTTTATTCGACAAGATAATAATATAATATAATAATATATATAATAATATATAATATATATAATATATAATAATATATACATAAACGTTGTCATAATAGGAACCTGGCTGCTATCACTTACCACATCACGTGATTGGAACGAAATTGTCTACACCAGCACAGATGTAACATTTAAAAAGATGTCTAATGGAACAACTGTCACATACGTCTGGTTGTCTAATTACAAGCTCAACTTTACATCGGCAAGGGACGATTGTAGAGGTATTTTTCTTTAACAGACTTTATACTACACCTAAAATTGACGTATCAATTCAATAATATTTATAATTGACGGAAATCTTACTTGCAAAGCTCACCAAACTATACAGACACCTAAATAAAACACCCCCCCCCCGGTTTGTTTGTCTTCATTATATAAATAAAGTACGCTAACCATTTCAATGTTTTTAAGCTGTAAAGCGAGCTTATCAATATTCATCAACAAGCCACAGGCTTAGCGTTGTACGTATAATAATTTCTGATACTATTAATACACAATGAAGTAATTTAAATTGTTTCTACCATTTTTTTCTCAGCCAAGGCTGCCCATCTATACACTCCTAAAACCCAAGAAAAACTCAACATTTTTCTCAACATCTTCAACACATTACCTATCGATATCTGGATTGGGCTGAACGATATTGATAAACTGTATGAGTTTGTGTGGGACGATGATGGAGACGTATATACTGGCCAACCTGTTATATTTAATGAAGGTAGTTTTTTTTTAAGCCAGTTAGTGAGTTAACTAACAAAATAGAAGTAGTTTAAAATTTCTAAACTTATGTGTCCAACTGCCCCGGTAGGGTTATTGAGGTATTGAATTTGGGTACGCTGACCATTGACCACATGTGCTTTGAACAGAGGGGCTTTGGGCACATCGGAGTTTTAATCCTCTCAAAGCACCTGTGGTCAAAGCACTTGTGGTCAAAGCACCTGTGGTCAAAGCATCTGTGGTCAAAGCACCTGTGGTCAAAGCACCTGTGGTCAAATCACCTGTGGTCAAGGCATCTGTGGTAAAATTATATGTGGTCAAATCACCTGTGGTCAAGGCATCTGTGGTCAAATCATATGTGGTCAAATCACCTGTGGTCAAGGCATCTGTGGTCAAATCATATGTGGTCAAATCACCAAGGATCTTAATTTGACTTGCTCACGGCGTCTTCCCATCCCTCTGTTCCTCTGCTGTTTCTAAGATTAGTTTGAAGTTGAAATAATACAATTCATCAAAATCCAATGTTTTTTTTTTTTTAATAATATTTAAAAAATTTAAAAAAAAATTGTTTTTCAGGCGACCCAAACAACTTCAACGGCATCCAGCGATGTGTTGCAGCATGCACTGGCTTCAGTCTCTTGATAGACACGGAATGTGCCAAGGTAGCTCAGTTTCTGTGTGAGCTGAAGGACGCGCCGGACTTGTAATGGATGTATCGGCTATAATATGATTCGACCGGACTTTGTTTTTTCTAATTGGATTGTTTGTCATCGAGGCGTTGTTCATAAACATGTTTTCAAGCTCTAATTAAAATCACGTAGAACAGAGAGAAAAATGTTTTATCATTAAGACTAAACAAAATAGCAGTGTAACGGTAGTTTTAATAGTGCAACTTTCAAGACTTGTATTCAAGAATATTAATGTTTATTTATCAATGTATTATGATTATTTAACTACATACCGAACCTCATCTGAAGTTTAAACCGTTTCTAATTAGGATGGATCATTAAATAGAGTCACGCCAATTTGCAAAAAAGTGGATATTTTCCCCAAAAAGTACCGAACTACCACAGTGTCAATATAAATATATCTATTGTTATTTTATGTAACCTATGTACATTGTTATTAGCAACGTTATAATATGTTGTTATTTTTTTTTCTTGATGCTAAGAAAGATAAAGTGTTACGACACAATTATTTGAATAGTTTTTACATAACAGCATGTCACCTTTCCATCAGAAAGTAGATGAAGGAGAAAGTATCTTGCATTATTACAGTCAGTAGCTGAAATATCTTACATCATTAGATCCAGTAGCTGAAATATCTTACATCATTACATCCAGTACATTAATTTTCTTACATCATTACAGCCAGTAACTCAAATATCTTACACCATTACAGTCAGTAGCTGAAATATCTTACATCATTAGATCCAGTAGCTGAAATATCTTACATCATTAGATCCAGTAGCTGAAATATCTTACATCATTAGATCCAGTAGCTGAAATATCTTACATCATTAGATCCAGTAGCTGAAATATCTTACATCAGTAGATCCAGTAGCTGAAATATCTTATATCATTACAGTCAGTAGCTCAAATATCTTACATCATTACATCCAGTAGCTCAAATATCTTACATCATTAGATCAAATAGCTGAAATATCTTACATCATTACATCAAGTAGCTCAAATATCTTACATCATTACATCCAGTAGCTCAAATATCTTACATCATTAGATCAAACAGCTCAAATGACTTACATTATTACAGTCAGTAATCCGCCTTACAGTTTCAAACATATTTTTTTATAAGGGAAAACCATTAAAATGTATCAATGTGGTTATGCACGAGTGATCCATTTCTACCAGTGTTGATGTGCTGTGCCTATGCATCTTTAGGAACCATCGGACCGAGGCTTTTAACTGTAAGTCGCTAGCGGAAACATCAAAGACATTCTGAAGACAATATACAAATTAAGAATCGATAAACAACATCAAATTGATCATATATCGACCAATGCTGAATTCATCAGGAAATATTATTTTTTATTAATCGAAACATTAATTTAATATTTTGTTCATGTGTAATTAAAATAACATTGAACTCTATTATTGCGTGTGCAAACACAGCTAAGCTACACAATAGATGTGGGAACTCGAGCAAAGAACACCTTAACTGTTGGCTTGTCAGAAATAAGGTTGAATATCTTTTGGCGTTCTGAACTTATTAATTTTAAATAAATAACGTGCTTTTGTTTTCAGTCTATTAGAATAGAATAGTTTTTAAAAGAATAATTACGTTTTTATTTTTTATTTTGTTTAATAAGCTTTGCTAAGTCTGCGTTTCCTTTCTAGAAGATGTGTTTTACATATCATTTAAAGTTGAAAACTATAATTCAAATGAAACGTCGACCTGCAATTTATATCCATACAATCAGTGTTACACTTTAAGGAAGGAACGCCTGAAGTCAGTTTACATCTACTTCACCTAACATCAAAGAGGCGAAAATGAATTTTATTGGTGTCTCTGTGTTTTACCTTATCCTTCAAGGCAAGTTTATCTTGTTATAAATAGAATATTTGGCGTGTACGTTTAAATATAATAGGCTGTTTCATTCATTTACGATTCCTAAATTTTAATTCTTTTGTCAATTATCTTACGGTCGTAGCAATGGCAGGAAATATCAGTGAGATAAACTTCCGCTTAGTAAACAACGATACGTTGACGGTGTTACCCATGACAACCGTAAGTCCAGTACCGAGTGTCCTGTCTTGTGCAGCAAGATGTCTCGACTGGTTACCTCCCTGTTACAGCTTTATCTACAACCAGACCAGTCACAACTGTACCTTGGGTGAGTTAACTCAGACTTTATTTGTTCTAGTGTAATGGTAAATTTCCTGGTTGAATTAAAAATACTTTTCAAAAAGATTTCTATGTATCTCGTAAGTAAACATTATCACAATTCACAAATGTATTTTTCTTTGCATTTATTTAAAGTTTGTTTTGCTGGACAGTTACCCTTTTATTTTGAAATCGTCCAATAACTTCTTTGAAAATTTGCTCAAGTAAACTATTTTTACACGTTACATTCTTAGTTTATATATATATATATATATATATATATATATATATATATATATATATATATATATATATATATATATATATATATATATATATATATATAGGGAGCTGGTTGCTGCTATTAATAACATCATTTGAGTTGCAAGATATCTACACCAGCACAGATGTAACATTTAAAAAGATGTCTAATGGAACAACTGTCACATACGTCTGGTTGTCTAATTACAAGCTCAACTTTACATCGGCAAGGGACGACTGCAGAGGTTTATATTTTATAATCATTTATGTTTAATGTAGTGTTTGATGTTTGCAAGACGCTACACGTCGACTCAAGCTATTTTAAAACAATTGTGTGTTGGAGTGCTGTGTGCCAATGCATGTTTAGCTCAGGTTATTTAATTCAGTAACACATCTTGTTTACGTTAAGTTATTTAATTAGTTTTGGTAAATAAATAATAAGATGAAATTATTTTAATGTTGCATTTTTTACAGCAAAGGGAAGCCACCTGTACACACCAAAGACGCAAGAAAAATTGGACCTTTTTCTCTCAATCTTCCGTCTATTAAACACCGTCATTTGGGTAGGATTAGAAGACTTTGAAAAAGCGTATGAGTTTGTGTGGGATGATGATGGCACCATATACTCTGGGACACCCAACATATTTCAACCAGGTATTGGTATAATCCAAATATGTGGCCCATACCGACTTCGCTAATGAACACATTTTCTTTCAACACTATTCGAACGTACTAGCGACCAATTAAAAAAAAAATCTTTCAAAACTATGGTTTATCTACCTTATACTTAGGATAGAAAAAAATACTATTTTAAACGAATTGTTCTGTCCACATTACTCAACGATAAAAAAAGATACAGCGGTTTTTGTCCCATTTGGTTAAATCACTTTGTTGTGAACGAACCGTAACCTATTAACAGTAAAGAACATTCCAACTGCATTGATTACTTGCAATTGTGCAATAATACAAAATACAAAGTAAATATTGCCACCTACATTATGATCAGTTTTATTCAACAATGTGTGTAGACGATTGATTTTGTAACAAGCAATTTACATTTTAAAAACGAGACATTAGGATGTTGAGTGAGAACTTTATGGTCTTTATTCTCGACCACGCCCTACCCAATCAGAGACTTTTGCATCTAACCACTCTAGCCGTCAACCATACTCTTAGGATGTTTTCTCATTAGAATCAACATTTTTTTCTATTTCATTTTTGGATATCAAAACAGCTGTTAGGGGTTTATGTTTTCTCTTCCAAATTTTATTTTATTTAGGAGATCCAAACAACTTTTAGGATGTTTTATCATTTTCTCATCCAAATTTTTATTTTATTTTTGGAATCCAAATAACTTTTAAAGTGTTTTATGTTTTCTCATCCAAATTTTTCTTTTATTTAGGAGATCCAAAAAACTTTTAGGATATTTTAAGTTATTCTCATCCAAATTTTTCTTTTATTAATGGAATCCAAAAAACTTTTAGTAAGTTTTATGTTTTTATAATCGAAAATTTTCTTTTATTTAGGAGATCAAAAAAACTTTTAGTGTGTTGTATGTTTTTATAATCGAATTTTTTCTTTTATTTAGGAGATCCAGACAACTTGAAAGACAAAGAGAGATGTGTTAGCTCATACTTTGGATATAATCTCCTGGTCGACCTGAACTGTGACTACTTAGCTCTGTTCCTGTGTGAGCTTAACCCCACGGCTCACGTCTAGAGAATGAGACCCCCATCACCACCTTTGTTTTTAGCCCAACATCTTATGCCAGGGCCAAATTTATTTCACAATATTTACTCCATAAACTGTTTTGAAGATGTATTTTTCAACATCCTAGTTTATGTTATAGAAACAATTGAAATTAGACTTAGACAATGAACAAAGAAGACGATTTACACTAAGTACAATATTACCATCTCAACACTGACATAAGGTAACCTTCTGGTAGAGTTGATTATATAAAAGGTAAACACAACAAAAAATTACAATAATAAAAATGTTTGATATTCTTTGTCTACAATTTTAAAGCTCTTGAAAGTCTTTTGTCTATGTTGTTATTGTGAAACTATATTAACCTGGCCTTAAACTAAATAGACCGTGAACATATTGAATAAGTTGAGTGTCAAGAATATTCACTTGACATATTTTTAAAATAGCATCGTTGCAATGTATTGTTTTATTTTCTTATTATTTCTCTATATTTACAATACGTTCTTGTTTCTTAACCGATATATCATGTAGTCTTAACGGAATAGTTTTTATTTATTTATTTATTTATAAATGCTGTTCTCTCAGTAAACGTTGTTTCATACTTTTGTGTCCTTGTTTCATTACAAAAAGTTCGTTTTGTATCGTGTGCTATTCTAAAATTAAAACTTTGACAAATAAATTGATTCAAGATGATTACAAAATAAAACAAAAAATGTCAAGGGTCAGTACTGTAATAATACTACACAAACAGAATACACAGAGTTTACTCCCTTGTGTATTCTAATACCAAACAGCGTTGCTTTTTTTCTTCTAATTTTTTTTTTACACGTACATTTTAAAAATTGTAACTACCTAAATGGGAAGTTGACTAAACCAGATGTGTAATTTATAA